TTACNTACCGGGTANATATATANTATANATATNTATNTATATATATATATNTATATTANATTATATATATATATATATATATATATATATATATATATATATATATATAGATATATATATAGCATATATATATATATATATATATATATATATATATATATATATATATATATATATATATATATATAGATATGTAAACATTAATTTTCATACACAAACAACGGAATATGTTGCTCTGTATCGATACAATAGAAAGCTGAACAAAACTGAACTGGATGCATAGGAGTGTTCACTTACATTTTTTCTTCTCTGCAATGTGCAATTGCCAACATTGTTTACTACTTGTGCAATTGCCAACATTGTTTATTACTCGGAAACAAATGAAGATGACGAAAATTGGGACACATATTCGTGTTGTCACCTTGAATATATGTAACAGGTGAATATTATTGAACGTTTTCCTGCCAACTCAACCAAGCTGTACCTCCGGAATCCAATTCATGTCTGAATCAACGTCTATATAATGCGGACGACGATATAAATAGATAATGTCATCCAGTAAAGCTCGGACCTTAGGAGAGGGGCCAAAACAGTGCCTTTGTAGTTCGACAAGACCCCCAAGAGATTTGCTTCCGAGTATCCTTTGAGAACAGTGCAGCCGACACAATAGAAATCAAGAATTGTTGACCATAGATGCAACAACCGGTAGTGTACGCATGTATAAATAAAATGCATGCACATGAACGCAGAATTACCGTTTTAAAACTATCATCAGAGCAGCAGTACAAATGCATGTTCGAAGTAAACATCTACTCGTCCGAATACTATTGGCAATATACCATACATCAATCAATCTTCATACTCTATTCACATATGAACGCACCAACATACGTGTATGATATTTTGTGTGATCGACATTCCGCTTACTTGCGCCTTGCCTCAATAGTCAAGAAGCCTATCGATTGAGACTCGTCCGAATGCTATTGGCAATAAACCATACATCAATCAATCTTCATACTCTATTCCCACATGATTGCACCAACATACGTGTATGATATTTTGTGCAATCGACATTCCACTTACTTGCGCCTTGCCTCCATCGTCAAGAGCCTATCGATTGAGTATTTCTTGTCCATCTTGGTTGCAGCAGACTTTGCACTGATTGCATAGTCCAGCTTCATCTCGCCAGCTATATTTAATTGGTACTCTCAACTGGAGCGATATTCTGGACAGCCTTGATTTCGCCCATTGGGTCCTGGTTGTTATTTTCGGCTAGCGCAGGCTCCATTGTCAGAATTGTATTATACGTCCTTGTACTTTGCGAAGTGATATGGATTAACACAGTTATCGAGTTTTTATACAAGCTGTCGATCTGCCTTAGGTTTTCTAAAACCCTAAAATATCACAGTTGTATTGTGTACTCAACCATTGAACTGGCATTTTAAAGGTGCTTATTGCACACAGAGGTTCAGAGTTTTATCCAAATTCCATGCAATAACTGATGTTGTAAAGGGTTTTGCTTTACAAAGTCTCTCTCACTTTCTTTCTATATTTCAAGAAAGAGTAAATACAAAAAGATGGATCTGATCTATGTTTTTACTTTTTCGAAATCGTTGACAGTTGTGTAGTTCACAACACAGGTTCTTCAACAGTTTATTAGACAATTTTCCGAGCTCTTCCAGCATGTATGCTCGGATATCCCTATGTGACCTATATCTATATTTCTATCGTCTACCAGGTTCCCTCTGAACCCACGATGAGCTGTTCTGGCAATATCCACTCTATGTTGACGCCTCTTCCACGATGCCTTCCTTTTCAAGTAGTCCTTACCATTATCCAATCCTCTGTACAGCATAGTCTCATCAGCATCTTCCAGCTCCATCACCTTGTCAGATCAGCTCCATCAGTCAATTCATATCAGCTCACTAATACCTTGACAACCTCCCTATTACTCTCGTGGCCAACCCTGGTAGTTCAGTACTTGGAACCAGTGCCGAACTTGACGCTTGTGGCTATTACAGTTGCTGTAATATTATCTATCACAAAAATGCGTTACAGTGCTAGCGAAAAAAAATCCTATTGGGTTGCTGGCCTGGGGATTTACTGCACTTCCTCTATTTATATTTAAAGTCTATACTCTTTAAATTGACTATTGTATTCGTGTCGGCGGTGTCCTGTCCAGCCTGCGGCACCAGCTTTACCTCATGGCTCATGGCTCTTGGACAGATGGTCAGCCTCCAAAAATATTATTAAAAAAATGATTTCCATTTATACGTCATACATTCCAACACCCAATTTATACTCCGAGAGTTCGATGAGTCATGACTCATGAGTGTGATCGATCTCAAATCTCAAATCTCAAATCTCAAATCTCAAATCATTTTCGTGTATGTAAAAAAAAAGAAAAATGAAACTTGATGGAGTGGGGAGCCGGGAGTTTGGGACTCTGAAGTCTGGGAGTGTGAGTGTGAGAGTGTGAGGTCACCTCCGGAAACAATTCTGGAATCGAGGATCTTGGGATCCCTGGAATCCTGGTCTCCTAAAACAAATTAGTATGATTGGCAGAATGGCAGTGCCTGAAGCGGCGCAGCCTGAAGTCACGAAGTGGAGACTGGGGCTGGAGCCTGAAGGTCTGAACTCTGAAGTCCTCTGAACAGAGAGCTGAACTGACGAAGAAATTCGACCTCGCAGGGACGCAGGCTCGCAGCAGCTTTTTTCTTTTTTGAAACAAAGACAACACTTGTTAATTTTGTATTATGTAATTTTCAGAAGGCTATGGATAAATATGTAGGTTGATATTTCATAGCCTGTATCCTATCTACCTAAAATAGTTGGAGAACAATTTTAATTTTTTTACTGATTTGTCTATTTTCTCTCATGGGTGAAAACCTCAAGACACTCGCCATACCGCCGCAGCTGAAGCTCGTACACGGCGCACGGCGCAGAATATTACTATTTACATAGCAAAAATAATAATCAGTCCGCTCAGCTATATTTTATTTATACTATTTTATTGTCTTCAAGAGAGCCATGGTATTGGTATATCATATTAACTTAAAACATATTTCACCATTTTTTAAATATCAGACTGCATAGACTGCACACATAATTATATCGTCTTGTTATTTTGGTTTGTTTATGTATATATATATAAATAGCACCGAATTTGTGAAAAACTGGAACCTAAAGTGATAAGAAATTCGTATTGTACTGAATAGAATCCTGATACACAGAATGGCGATTCATCCCCCAATATGGCAGTCTTCTGCATTAAAACTTGGTAGTCGTAATTTTTTCATCGCCATAGCGTTCTACTAGATATAGTAGACGGCATTTCCTCCGATTGTAGTGTTCATTGAATTGCCAGTAGTGCTACCTCTTCGGGTGCTTACTTCAGTGCCGAAGATTCTCCTTCGGAAACCTATAAATAACTGTCAAATCTTACAATCGTTAGTTCCAAAGGTTCGAACGATGTTTAGATAAGCAACTTATATTTTCACAGTGAATATGGCGTGCGAAGTAACAATCATTTTGAGATTGTACCGCATTAACCATTTACACTGTGAATGGTAGAACCAAAATTTGAGATGAAATAGTACGACGGTTGTGCATGACATTCAAAGACTTATTTATCATAGCAAGTGAAATAGTATGTCCAAATAATAAAATTTTGCTTCAAACAAGAATAAAGTGGTTGTGAGACATGTACGGTACAGCACTTTAGTTTTTAGGGTTTTAGGGTTTTTCGTTTATATATGTCAGTTTCATTCAGAACCACCCCCGGCATGCGGAGCATGTTTATTTTTTTTCCGCATCAGACAGTCAGACTATCGATCTACTTGGTGCTCAGGCGTCGCCACAGAAGTTTTCCACTCCCGAAGCAACAGGAATGGTGATACAAATTTAATTATGGATGCTAATAGTGACCGTTCAGCGATGGTTTATAACCAATACAATACTGATGTCCCAGAATTACGTATTTGTGCTATCTTGTACATATCAAAAAGAAATATTTAAATACGGGTCCTACGGACGTTTTTAATAGTCCGTTCAGCCATACAATATTTTCTTTCTTCTCTCTCCCTCTAGAGGGTCATGACATTTCGACCATCTGGGGGTTGTTTTTTTTCAAAATGAGGGGTTTTTTTTTTTCTATGAAAGTTGTAAAATAGCATTTTTCACGTGTGGGATTGTTATCTCACCGGCCAGCCTCTACTAGTACATATCGCACTCGCTAATATCGCGTTCGTTGATTAGACACACTCTTACACTTCACAAGCTATTACTGATTGTATCGACAGCAATGACAATGGACTCAAAACAGAAGTGCGATGTGGAGATAGAAGAATCAGTCGCACTTTTAGGCACGAAGAGAGTCAAATATACAATGGAAAATGATATGTCCAGCAGTCAAGCTGGCGTTTCCAGTGATGTTCTTGATGATAAAAAGGACCTAGGCGAAGATATCGACACCGGGCCGTGCGATGTTACGGGAACTGTTGGGCTGAGAAGTGCTGAAAGTGGCTCAGGTAAAGGTATTCAGGGCGATGTACCTGCGAGTGCAAGTGCTGCTGAAATTGAACCCCTGAGCAATGGAGAGACTGCTGAGGGCCGAGCTGATATGGGGAGCGAGAAAGCTTCCACTGCCAGCAATGGGGAGGTACGGCAACACGTTGCTTGATGTTTTTGTAAGTACGTACATTCATAGTAACTACTTCTTCTGTGGTGCTTTCCAGTTCATTGAGATGCAGCGCATCTACGAATACAGCCCAACGCACGCGCGTGTATACTATGCGGACACAGTTATCTTTCGAGGTTAATCATTAGTATCTTGTACACATTCATTTATAAACATCACTTCTAATGTATAGCTCCCGATCAAATCTAGCATATGAAATTTTTTTAACCCCATATATATATTCGATGTATGCACTGTTGTACGATCAGAATGAACAACGTGTACGTGTACACCCACCCACACACACACACACACACACACACCTGTACACTCACACACG